GTATACTTTAATGCAGTCCAGGACACCTGTGCCCCCAAAATATTCATTTTTATGATGCTTGTAATGTTTGGTTTTTCCTTATATAGTCACACAGGCTTTGATTTGGTTATATTATAGCACGAGAGGTCACAGCTAGTGTTTTAGAAAATACTTTCAAGCATTTGGAGGTCATTTTAAACACATGTGCTCCTCTCTGTGCATTCGCAGTAGCAGTTCAGCCAAATCAAATATCTAACGTACACGTTATTTTCCCAGTTAGAATGGTTTATTTTGCTTTAAATCTCCTCGGCAGTAGGAGACATCACCCTGCTGTTTGCAGGAAAGAGCTCAGTCAGTCATCGGGGACTGATGGTTAAAACTGATATAAACTCCACAGTATTTTTCCACTACAGCAGGACTTTGGCCCGCTCAGACATCTGGTCTGGAAGATTCTGCTGAGTCTGCAGAGAAGAAAGATTAACTTATTTTTTATGGTTTGTGGAGATTTAATCTGCATGCCTCTCTCTGTTTTATATTTTAGCTTGAACTCTTTTTCTGATAAGTTATTTTGATCCCTTTTTGGCTGCTTGTTTCTGCCATTTGCCTGTTTCCTCGTGGAACTCAAACTTATTTAGTTTTCTACAATTATGACGCCGATATCTTTCACTCCAAAAGTGCAGCTTTTGTTTTCTAGCTCCCATAACTTTACTTAACCCAGAAAACTGCTGGATTGAATAGGAGCCAGACAATATTCATCAATTATCAATATAAGCAAGACTAGATGTGCTTATAATGGGGTATGTTTCAAACACGGTGGAAAATGTAAAAGGAATTTTCAGAGACGACATCCAATAACAAAAGATGTAAAAACCCCTAGAAAAGCTTAAGTGACATTCAGAAAACAAGATAAAATGAAGATAAAACAGTACAATAAAATAAATAAATGGTAATTTATTTATTCATTTTGAGAATTGTGCACACAAAACCTTCCATATAAACATATTGTTTCTTCGTTCCTTATTTATGCACACATTTGCTAAAATGGCGCAAGTAAATTGATCATTTTAAACTGCACTTTATTAATTCTCACATTTTATGACTGGATCCTCGTAGAAACTCTTCTTCCCACTTGTGCATCTTTGCAGATATTTGGATAGTTATTTTGAAGCCTCTGTCCAAATGAATGAGGAGAGGTGCCCTAAAAATCATGGTCAGAAAATGCAAGAAACTGTCATTCAAACCTATTGGCCAGTGAAGTTAACACTGCTTTGAAAGCAAAAACAAGGAGAACCAGATCCAGGTTATTACTGTATCCTGGTTCTAACCTCTGTTGTCGTCTTCTCTCGTAGAAAATTGACGCGCAGGCGATCGAGGAGTTCTACGGTCTGACCTCGGACATTTCCAAGAACTCTGAGTCAGGATACATCCTGTTCTACCAGTCGAGAGACTGAACCAAGGCGGTCGTAAGTCCCCAACAGACTGTCACTCAACAGAGGGGGGAGGGGCTTATGGCAGCCACCTGCTCCGCCCTCACTTAAGTATCCAGGCTTATTTCCTGTAGGCGGAGCTACACTGGAGTGCCACTCGGGACGGGTTGAGACGTGTGCGGCAGGTCTTGTTACAGCCTTCTGGATTACCGTTCAAATCCTCTGTGTCCACACTGCTGCAGCAGAGCACCTTAAAAATATATTTTAAAAAAACATCCACTAGAACCCCCCCACTCCCCCACCCCCGGCAGATTCCACAACACTCGCTTTGCACTGTGGGCAGACTGACCAATCCAAGAGGCTGACATGTGGAGGACGAGCAGGAGAAGATGATGCGGCATAACCAGCTGTTTTGGATGCAACTGGTGTCGGGGGGTTAAGGTCTGAGTCGGCCCTTTTTGTGGCTTGTTGCACTGACACGCAACTCCCCCAAAGATTCCTTTAACGTCCCACCTGTCACAGCAAAACCACTGACACTACCTGTAGTGAGTGAACGGCTTGAATGTGAGCGCGGCGCTTGGATGATAGTTTGCGGTGTTTTGTATAGTGAAGTTTTGCCAATCACGTCCTGCGCAGTGTTACAGGCGATGGTTGAAATGGAAACCAGCCACCAGGGAGGTGCTGATGGAGCTGAAATGTTCCCCACACTCATGAGTAAGGCTCTTTGTTTCAGGTTTAAAATTCTTAACTACAAAAATAAAGAGGAAAAAAGTGAAACCCGTTGACCAAAAGTACAATTTGCAGCTTAAATAATTTTTTTAAACAACCCTGTTTAAAGAAAAGAATACTTTGCCACATGTTATATTTTTTAATCCAATCCTTTGGATCACCAACAGTCCTGGTCTAGATTCCAGAGCGTCTAGAGTGTCTAAAGCCACTCGTGGTGCCACAGTGGGGGAGGGAAAAGAGCTCAAAGGAAGTATTTCAACAGCATAAGCTAATTTTTAAAATGCCAGCTTCTCATGGTTTTGACAGCAAGCACCCGCTCCTTTGCTCTCGAGGATGTGTTGTTGTAACATGTCTGACTTTTTTTAAAGATGCCACAATATGCACATTTGTACTTTTTCTTTTTCTTTTTAAAGGGACGCACTATGAGACTAGTGCTTTTTTTCCCTTTAAGTCAGCTCTGATATCCACTTTACACACTACACGACACGCAGTGTCGAAGTTTGTTGAGTTTGTCTCATGTGCTTATGGATGCCTCTCTGCGCACACACGCCTTTACCCTTCTACAGCTGGTTCATCTCGCAGTTTCAGCCACGCCAATTTTGACTCTGGCTTAAGTGTTTTTCGTGCAGCTGCAGCTCTGGCAGGCAGTCAGGTTTTTACATAACACGTTTTCCACTCCAGAATTGTAAATTGCAGCCTTTGGTAACGCTGAGTGATGCTAAAGGTCTGCGGATGTGATCCGCTGATGCTCGGCTACACGGTTTATTTTATTGCAGTAAGACCGTCTCTTTCGCATGTTTGTCTCGGCCGCTTTTAAATGGCTTCCCCTCCTCAGCATCAACAGCAGCTTAGCGGCGAAGCATCCTGGGAGATGAGCTGCATCGTGGTTATCTTACTGTTTCTGAAATGCTCATTAAATTGCAGCCTGGGCTAAATTGAGTTACTTGAATGTTAGCGCTACTCTGGGCAGCTGATTGAAGCTAATTAATCAGCTGAGCGTTTAGTGATTCCAGTAAGTAGTGCTTCAAGTGATCACATAACTGGATAATTTTGGGCAGGATTTCTTCTTCCTTAGTTAAAAAAAGAAAAAAGTAAAACTTGCATATGTAGGTAGGTTAGACAAAAAATGATTACCTGCAGTCTTCCTTTAGAGGGGTAAAAGTGGGTTACATAGTAAAATTCATAAATATAACCACGATTTATGTTTACTTTCTCTCTTCTAATTTCAGATGATATTACAGATGAATGTGTTTGTGTAGGTTCTCGGTGATGTTGGTCTTCTCAGCTTTAAGGAAGAAACTGCACTTATTCATGTCTAAAAACAACAACTACTTCCAAAGGGTCGACCCCCCATTAGGGGTTAGAAACCTGAGAGACACCTTTTGCATTTAGAACTTTTTCAAGCTCTCTTTACTACAGATTCATCTTAAAACTGCTGACAGGCTCTGCTGCCGTCTTAGTGGTGCTGAATTCCGATTGGCAAGGCTTCAGTCACACAGGCCTACAGACAGGTCGGTGATTATCCGGTGACCAAAAGTTTATCCTCCAACCAGTTGGCAAGTGGTTGCTTGCTTTTGCCAGGGTACTGCATCCAAAACCTCCAACTTGTGGGTGCTTTATCGATATTTGACTTTAAAGGTCTCGGTTTTTCAGTTTGCGTCACACATTTTGCAGTTGCTGTCGAGTATTTTGAGTCCTTTAATGCAAACTACCGGTCACCATGGCAACCTGCTAGCAACCAAAGAAATCGCAAGGGGGCATTCGGTTCAGCGCCGTATACCTCTTTGGGACCAGTTCCATGCTAACTACTGAGAGCAAACAACTTGCCAACCCATCTAGGAACATACAATTTTCCCTAGCAACCAGTGGTTGCCAAATGCCGCCAGCTGGTCTCTAGGGCTGTGTGTCCAGTACAGTCACAGAACACAGAAGTGGGGTTTTTTTCTTTCTTGTCCTTAAAATGTCTGGAAGTCCAGTGTCACATCTTCCAGTTGCTTCCAAATAAAACTTTCGGAATTTAAGATTTTAAGGGTCACAACATGTTTGACATATTTGCTTGCATACCTGACTGCGTGTTTGAACTCAGGTCTTCAAATTACTGCGTTTCTCTAGTATGATGAAGACCAAATATTTAAAGATCTTAAACTTGCCAACTTTGAGAAACGGAATTAAAACTTACAAACGGGGTTTGATTGAGTTGATCTAAGGAGAAGCAGAAGCCTTTTTAAAGCCTCGGCCTCGCTTTCCAGCTGTGGGTTAACCCTTTCCGCCTCCGTTATTTTCTTATTAATTGCACAAACCAAATATTACCTTACCAATAGTTACCTTTTTTTCTTTTTTTTTAATTTAAACCCGAGTTTAGTTATTTTGTTGTATATTTAACACTCCCAAGCTGATAAGCCTCCATGCTATCACTCCTTCGTAACAGAGCTGCAGCAGATGCAAAGCGGATTTGGAAAAAAAGCTCTATGCAGCCTTTAAGGTGTTTATATTACATAGCTGTTGAGTTTTGAATGTTAACATGTACAGTCAAATAAAAAAATAAAAAATAAAAATAGGGCTGCTGCTTGACCTGTGACATGTGGATTTTGGGTGCATCGCAATACGGTGAAGTCGCTGTCTCCGCTTTTAAAACTGAAAAGCACTTTTAAATATTTGTCAGAAAACTTGTCATTTTGTCCTTCAATCGTGCAATTTAGTGAAAGTAACAGCATTCATGCTTGTGGCTGTACAGTGTTTTCACTTTACCACAACCTGGCACAAAGTCCTGACTCCCAGAGGTAAAAAGTAAACAAATGTAAGGGAATTCAGGTTGAGTCTTGAAGGCGTATCACATCCCCCAAAATACTGCAAAGTAATTTTCATTTCTTCAGAGAGTGATTTAAGTGCTCTGAAAAGTGACACTTTTTATCATCATTCAGGTTTTATGTCCGTAGCACAGAGCAGCCAAAATATGTTACAAAATAATGTGAGCTTGTGGATTTCACTCTCTTTGTTGCATAAGCCTTTCTCTTAGTTCTGCCAGCATGAGAAAGTTTAAAGTTGGACGTCGTGCAGCCAGAGCCCTGGCCTTAACCTGCTTTTTCCAATGCCTTCTCATCCAGATGCATCCGTTACACACCAGGTGTCCTCTAGCTTTGGTGCTCTAATGCTATAATGGCCATGTTGAACACAAATACAGTGCTAATGAGGAGACTGAAGGAGGAGACCCTGTTTTTCACCCAATATGGACCTTTGTTGCACACTGGTTAGGTTTAGGTGAGATTTAGCCTGTCTAGTTTGCATAAAGTTGCTTTCAGCAGCGCCTATATTGTATTTCCTCAGTATAAAGCTGACGTGTGTCTGTTAGCTCCGGATGTTGCAGAATCCTGCAAAATATGGGTTATCCAACCGATCAAGTTATCTTGGTTTCAAGGTAATAGCAATATGACCAATCTAGATCGGGTGGGTAAAGTTAAATCACTGTCAGCCTCTTCCAAAGTCATTCTGTCCATTTATGTTACATAAAACTACAACTACAAATAGTTTAACTCAACAAATACCTCATTTGGCTCAAAGTTCTCAAATCTGTGTAAACGACTGGGAGGAGATCGAGCGACTTCCTTGACGATGCATCCGAAGCACTTCACTCAATGAGTCGAAGGTTCAAAGTCAACACTATTTCTCTTTCATGTCTGTGCTGCTCTTTAACTAATCAACTTAAAGGAAGTAATCTACATTAAAGGAAAGTGTTGCGCAATTTTTATGTTTCGTTTTTTCTTGGGGGCTTAGTAGTTTTATAACTTTCGGACATCTGAAGAAAGTCGTTTTTGGCTGCAAATGACTTGAAACACCAACAGAATCTGTGGACTCTTTAAGTTGCGTTCATACATACCAAATGATGTTTATATTGTTTTTATTCCTTTTATTTTATTTTTTTAAATAAACAAAGCGTAGGTGTACTCAAGATGTAAATAAACACAGACAAGCACAAAAGCACATTATTAGGGAGATGGAAGTCCACAGATTCAGCTGGAAGCCTTTCTTTTTATTTTAAATATGAAAACCAGAATTCATTGAAACAATGTGTTGGATGCTTATGTTGAAGCAAGGCTCTTTTTATTTAAATATTATTATTATTATTATTATTATGAATGTCCATGTTAACGTTTTTTCCTTTGATGTTCTGCATTGTTTGTATTTTTATGTATTTTACTAATTTTGATTGTCTGCTGAGGCAGCTCTGGAAATCTGAGGATTTATTTTGATCTAATTTGGGGAGTGTGAAGTGAGAGATGTGTACATAAATACAGATGTTATTATTGGAATATAAATAATTGCTTGCTTGGAATAATCAACAAATCTAGATCGAGAATATTAGTGTACGTTATCTCTCAAAGATACCTTTCTTATGGTTGATATCTTCAATCTGCCTGGTGCTTTAAAAATTGCAAACCCCACCCATCTGGCACACCGGGCAGACCAAAACAAACAAACCCAAATATATGGAATGGTCACAATGGAGCTGTGAGTTTATTAACATACACTCACTTTATAGACATTCTCTTATTAGATGTTGGTGTGCAAAAAAATACATGACTGTCCAAAACCTGATATGCGATCACAGTGTTAAAGGAAAAATCCACTTTAGGTTACATAAAGGCTTAAAATAAATGAGCAGCTGGTGTTGGTGTTTGTTTCATTTTGTGTTGTCCTGATTGTGTTTGAGTTCTAATGATGATCAATGTTTATAAGAAGACAGAAAAACGACTATACTGGATTGAGAGAAACTGAGGGAGATGGTATATATTAGTATTGAGCTTCAAGTAGTTCCACTGCAAAGTTTTCACTATATTTAACTTTCACATTTATATGCTTGACAGCACTAATTTATAGATATTGCAGATGCCGTTATTATGTCTAATGCAAAAGTTCTCCACATCTTAGGTAATGTGGAGCTTTTTAGCTAAGATGTGGGAGTGGTTGCTGGAGTTTGCCGGCTGTCGATGGGTGAAATCAGTCACAAAGAGGTTATTACACCAAAAACCACTTTGTTATTGCGTTGGGTTTGGCAGATTGCCGTGGTTGCACAAAATATGGCCGTCTATTTGTAATCACTAACTGGAAAAAGTGTGCAACCATTGTTCACCTTGAAAGTTAAAGCTGTGCCTTATGTCCTGAAACTGACATGTTTCCATAAGCAAATCCAGTCAACTTTGAAGATGACCATTCTCCGTTTCACTATCATTCTGCAAATAGTTGGCAAATGTTTGCAAACAAGTTGGCTTCTTCCATGCAAACCAAAACCAACCAAAGCATTTGCAAGAAGTAAAACACCTGTCAAAGTTTTGAAGAAATATCTTAAAAACTTGTATATTTATATTTAATAGGCAGAAAACAAACTGAATTCTTGTTTTTATACTCAAATTTACAGACACGTAAAAATACAGCAGCTGTGGCTTAACCCTTACATTCGGTAGTAGTCTAATAAATTTGTTAAGCACTGTAAAATAAAATGTCATCAGCAAAGAGTGGAAACCTTGGAGCTACACCTTCAATTCCAAGAGTATTAAAATATTGTCAGAAGAAAAGAAGTGGAGAGACAGAGGCCAGTTTTTGCACCCTAAAATATAAAAAGTTCCTTTTAGAGAAATATTTTCATCTGGTCATTTTTATTATTGCTTTTATTGTTTTATAGATTTTATTAATCTAAAATTAAGCATATACGTCAGCGAGTAACAGAAGGCAGCAGTCAAGCATCCCCTGTGTGCTTTTTAAACAGCATTATGGGAAATTGATGAAATGCAACAGCTTTTGTTGGTGTGGGGGAGGAGTCAGAAGCACCGACTGACAGCTACAGGTGGATTTTTCCTTTAACAGTTGTCTCTTCAGAGCGTTTGGTCGTCCACATCACTCCCCTTTTCAGTCTCGCCAAATAAATGTGTTTAACCCAGTATGTGACGGACATACAGTGACTGAATGCATCATTAACACTCCTCTAATGTTTTTAGTGTGCAAAGTAGCAGCAGCCTCACCGAGACCAACACTGTTAAAATGAAGGTCAGGTGAACACAAGTAAGGGAATCTGCTTTTTAAATGGTTGCATATTTTTGTACCAGCTGAACACAGGAGGGTTTTTTGTTCATGCAGAGTCTGCGACTACAGACTGATCTGAAGGACCAGTAACCAGGTTGTCCTCTCGGTGTTTGTATTTGTGGGGCTGCTGCTGTCTGACGTTCATTCTGAATCCGTGGAGATGCAGTGAAGTTTGGGAATGACTGCTGGTTCTGATGGTGTCCAAACTGTTTGAAATAAAACACAAACTGGTTTTGATGATAACTCAACTCTGCTCTCAGTCTCTTTCATTGAGAATGTTTGACTATAGCGTCTCGTTTTTTTAAACATACATGCAGAAAAGAGGAGGTAATGCAGCTGTGTGAAAAACATAATCACATCTTTGCTGGTTGAACAGAAATTAAGAGGGTAAGTAGCAGCTAGATGCTCGTAATCTAATGAGTTGGATCTTTTCAGGATGAGTAACTAAAATTGGTTAAGATGGCTCTTTGCTAAGTTGACTGTAATGAGTAGACACAGCAGTGGTCCATTAGGAGACCTTTCATGCTTCGTAGATCAGTGTAAAAGTGGCTTAATAAATAAATAAATGTATTACTCTGAAAATAGTCAGGTACAAGGACTGGACTGGAAACGGGTAACAAAGCAGGTCCAAAGAGAACTCTTAACAGACCTTCAGAAAGCCTGCGAACTGATGCCCAAGACCACTTTAAAAAATTACAAGACAGTCTGGCTCCTTGGAAGCAAAAAATGCAGAAATGAGAGGTTGCTCGAGTGCTCTACAAGCGCTGTCCATATTTAAAGTCGATATAAATGGAGGATTCTGATGATGTGGTTATAAAAAAAAAACTAAAAAAGGATGCACAGTGAAAAACTTGAAAAATTAAAAAATAAATAAATTCCACTGAAGTATTTAAGAAAAAGATGCTTGAAAGGTTAAAGGGACTATTTATTTTAAAAAAAACTTTTGCTGTAGAAGCTCAGAAAACAACTATTTACCTGCAATCAGTTGTTTGTGCCAGTCTACCGTGACTGTCATCATTCCTGCCAAAATATTAGACACATTTTGATTGAACTGCAGTTTGTTTAATATTTGTACTTGTTGCTGTACAAAATTAACGTCCTGAGACTTGAGGTTGTTTGTTGCCTGCTTGAGAGGCATATTTGTCCTCTCTCTCTATTTGGACAGTTGGACCTGGTACATGTAAAGAAAAAAAGTGTCCTAATATGAGGGGATTGGGTTTATTTTGCAGCGTAGCACAATAAAGTCAGTATTGTATAACACTGTTTTAGAAAAAGGTGCAGAAACCCTAAAACATCTGAAAACGGTGTGAATATAAATTATTTCACATTTTAAACCCTTCCCCCCCTTTTATAACTTAAAAAAAACCACAAAAACTTAAGCTTCCCTCTCTGGGTTAAAGCCCATAGCTCATCTTCACTCAGCTGCCACAACCAGCAATTTCTGCAACCTCAGTTTTCCTGAAAGTTTGCTTCAAGTTAAGGAGCCGTGAGCCAGAAAAGCAGAGAACCGCTACTTCAACTTAACACAGCATCGGCAGACAGTTGGATGGTCCAGGATCCACAGTGACGCAGTTTACAAACCTGATATTTTGTTATGCAAACATATAAAACTGAGGATACTGGTTGACTGCAGGCATTTCGTAAAAAAAGAAGAAGAGAGCTCTCCAGTTTTTAAATGGAAGCTGAAAAGCTTTCTGCCTGCCTATTCTGTGTGAGATCATCCACCCCTGGAGGCTTTTTTGTCTCCTGACATTATTGCACTTAAGATGCTTGTCCCGATGCCAAAAGCATGACCGCACTCCAGCTCCCAGAAGCCGCTGAAGCGGCGCACTGACTCAGTGCGTTTATCCCACTCCTCTAGCTGCACCGTGAGCAGTAAACAATGACACAGGAGGCAGTTTGACATTTAATTCTCTGCAGGTAGGTGGTACATTCTCAAACAGCAGGTTCACACAAACACTGATGGATTTTACAACAATACAGAAAAAGAAATGCCTCGTTTCTTTACAGGGACAGAAAAAAAAATGATACATTCACCTGCTGAGGGTGAAGGACGGAGTGCACAAGTCCAGAAATTAGAACCGGATACAAAAACGACAACAAAAATATAGATCTTTGTACAACAAGTTGCTAGTTGTTTGGCACTATTCCCAAACCTATTTTGTTTGTCTGTACACTGAGTGTGCGCACAGCCTGTAGGAAAAACTGTATGTTGGCGATGTTAACGTTTGCAATGAATTGGCAAATATCGCCCTCTTGTGGTAAAAAGGGCAACAACACCTGTGAAATCTTGCTGAAGACGGATCTTTGTACTTTCCTGTTGGTTTAATGAATTTTGACACATCATAATAACCTTTAAAGCAGGCATGGATGCATTTATACACGGGTTTGATGCAAGTCAGAATGTTTGTGTCCGAAAGATGTAGCATATATGGAAGCTTGTTTGTGACAGAAAAAAACCCAACAAAAACATTTTTGTTTACCATATATCAACATTTTTAAACTTGATATCGAGTAAATGACTTGAAACACTGAAAACACTATTGTTTTAGATGATAGAGTTAGTAGGTAGGGTTTGTGATGATAACCCAAAATTGTGAGATGGACACCTGGTGCCTTAAAGGAAGAAGTTCCACAAATGAATAAAATGTAACAATTAGCAATATAGCAATTATTGGTAAGCGAGGGTTATACTTTATTGACATATGGATGGCATTTTCTTTTATAGTGGCACAAACAAGCTTCCACAGACAAGTTTGAAGGGCTGCTTCTCCTCTCTGATCGAATATATAAGAAAAGCAGCTTTTACTGGGCCGCTCAGTGCATCACATTATGTTGGTATTAAGAGGAAATGTTAGGACTTGGTTGGGAACACATCTCTGTACTGATATGATGTGACATATGGAGGTAATGTTAAATCTGGTTTACAAAAAATACAGTATACCAAAAGTTGGTGAATTCTGGATAGACTTCATTGCTATTTACAAGTGGGGAACTTAAAGTGACTCAATCTGTGAAAAGAACTGCTTACAACTCAAAGGCAACACAACTTGTAGTGATTACAAGTAAACTTTCATTATATAAAAGAAACTTCTGATCAGTCCACCAGCGTTGGCTCCATTTTCAATCTTTTGACTTCCATATTACCAAACTGGTGTGAGTGTGATGTGCTGCTGATAATAGCAGGAGTCCCTCTGAGCTGCTTTAAAATACAAAAAAGAAAACCTTCTTAGATTTTAGATGTCATACTGTTAAAGTAGCCAACGTTTCAGACACCAAGGCCAACGAATCAAATGTATAATTAGTATGTAAAAATAATCCCTGAAAAAACCCCAGCTAATCAGCCTTGGATCAGTATGACATCAGTGAGGGTTGATACTCACCTCAGGCACACCTGCCTTATGGTTCAGTCATACTAACAGGAATGGAAACCTCTCACTGGCTGCCAGACGATTGCATCTTTTTTTTGCTGTCGATTGCAGGAAGTTGCAGCAACCAAATGGTCACCCAGAGGTTGGGCAATGAACATCCTCGACTTCAAATCAAACCCATTTGATTTCAAGGTTACTGCACAAAAAATTGGAGGCAACCTTCCTGACTGACTGGAAGAGGTTTCCAAATAAGTGCGGTTTTATTTATAAATGCAGATGGATTACCATCTGGTTTCCAGCTGTATGTATTCTGGTTATATTCCTTTATAAAAGCCTGGTTGCTGAGCAACTATGTGATGTTGCAGTTAAATTGCCGTCCTGCAACAACTACGTCATTATTTGTGGAGGAATTTCTGCTTTAAATCTAAATCTTTGAGGTTCCGGCTGGACACTGAATGTAAGTAGTTAATGTCAATTAGAATTTCTGCTTATATAGACAGCAACAGGTTTGCAATGTTCACGGATTTATTATAATTAGTTGCCATCTTATCACAAATCCCAACCCTAAACTGACAGCAGGCTGACTCCGCCTTATTGCCGCCTTGATGAGCTAACATTGCTTTGAAGACGGCAACTGACTGTGAGTGGTTGCACACCTGGTCTTCATCTTTAAAGCAACATTTCAAAGGAAACAGATCCCAAGTGCATTGGACACAGTCCGGATGACACAGTCATGCCACATTCTCAAGATGGGGGCTGAAAATACTTGTTTCAGACAGAAGATGATCTGCACGATTTGTAAAGCTACTCAAGCAGAATCTAGAATTAAAATATGGATGTGAAGTCAGAGAATAATAGACAGAGTTTACTGTTTTAAACTAAAGAAGACAATCTTTGGCTGACTCCACTCACACTGACACATTTACCATTAAAGCTGAAGTAGGCAGAAATAAAGAACAGTCCTCTCAAAATCAGGGGCTGTTTGTTTTAAGTCCGACCCAACAGAGTTCTTAGAGCATAAAACATAAACCTATGCTGAGCTTTGGCTTCATATTGGGTTTGAACCCCACTATCCCAGGTTAAAGTCTTCGGCATAGATCTTAATTTGTAGTCTTAAGAGCTTGAACAGAAGGTGACTGGACCATCGTGAACTGGACGACTGGGAACCTACACAGGCTTCTTAATTTATACTTAGCCTTACATACCGTAAGTGAGGGACACCAATGCCACTATTTCTATTTATTTGTGCTTAGCTTGCCTGCGCTGCTTAAAACACCACTCCTAGCACGATTTGATGGCAATGATCAGGGTTTTTTTGTTGTTGTTTGGTTTTGCAAACACTCATGTTTGGCCAAAGTCCCGCACTTTACTTTCTAAAACCTGAAAACCCAGAGGGGGAACAGGCGTATGTAAGGTTTTTTTTGTCTCCATTGATGGGAGAAACAAAAGCCGCCTGCTGCAGCTTTAAGGGCTGATTTATAGGTGAAAACCTTCTCGAAATGCCTTTTTTATGTACAATTTTTAGCTATTTAACCATTTTCAGGGGCACAGATTCAATGTGAAACATCCTAATTACATATTCAGGTATAATAATCGACATTTTAACCAAATTTACTGCAGATGCAATCACACTGAGCTTTTTGCCCTGCAGTGCTCATTGGGGAAACACACTTTGCGGGTGTTTGAGATCATTACTGAATGTTAAGCAGCTACACCACATTTGCAAAAGCAGCTTAGTGCAGGTTGCAGGAAAAAACAAACAAACGGAGTATGCCTGGTATGGTTTCTGTACACTGAGTGTCAGAAGATGCAGTTGTAGAAACAGGGTTTAAAATATGAATCCATCCTGTACATGTTTTTATTAGTGGATCCACCTTCAGGTAATCTCACTGATTTATTCTTCCTTCGTTTTTTTGTGTCTGAGAAGTTTGTGTCCTTCATTGCTTCTAGTTTTCATTCATACCCATGCTGAGTTCAAGAGGGGCCAAAAAATGTGGGAAATTCCAACTTCCAGCTTGGAAAACCCACAGCAGGATGGTTATGAGGTCAAGTGGGAATGTCAGGGAGAGACCTGTATTATTTACACCAGTAAGCGTCTCTTTAAGTGAATCTGGAACTTGACCGGTTGTTTCTCTCCTCTCCCTTCATCATACCATCGTCTCTGAGCCCGAACCTTTCCCGGTGAAGAAGTCCCAGAAATTAGTGGTCGGCGACGGCTTGCTCTCCTCCTGCGGCGTCTGCCTCACCCAGATGCTGTTCTCGGTCGAGCCGCTCAGACTCGAGCTCAGAGAGAAGCTCAGCGCGGAGCTCAGACCCGGGCCTCGACGGTCCTGGGCATCCGAGTCCTGAGCGTTGAGCCTGGGGGTGGAGGACGAGGACAAGGACGAGGAAGAGAAGGAGGACTGGGATAGGCTGAGCAGGTTGTGGTGGGAGTGGAACTGACGCATGTGGCGGATGGATTTACCAGGAGGGACCTCACCTGCAGAGAACAGGACACGGTTTCAGAACTTGAAAGACAAAAACTATTTATTATCTTAAAGTTGTGTAACATGAGTCATAGAGTGCTGTGAAAAGTATTTTCCCCCTTCCTTCCGGATTTCTTACATGTTTCAGATTGCCAAGCAAATTTAAGATAGAACAGGTTAAAAACAACTTCTGTGTCAGCATCGCCCGCCGCCACTAGGGGGTGCTGTTGGCCCACTTATCGTTCCCACAAACGTCCACAACCTCCAGCAGCCAGCGTGTGGTCTGTGTTACATTACACTGCCTTCAGAGATGCTTTAACACATGGTGGTGAAACTGCAGAGCACTGTTTCAGGGTTTTCTAAAGACTCCTGTCTCAGGCAGGAAATTTACCTAAAAATCAACAACTGCTTGAAAAGACAAGTAAGCAGATGCTAAACTAACCAAGGATCACAGCTGAAAACCTCAAAACCTTGTGGTATCGTTCCTGCTCCTGTCATTAATCGAAATGTTTTAAATGTTGATTTTTTTTTGAAAGAAACAACTTTAAATGAGAAATTCCTTCAGGTCTTCAGAGCCTCACATTCACAAAAACTCAAGCAGACCATAGTACCGTATCTGGTGTCCTGCCGCTTCCTGTTCTGGTTCAGTTTGAGGACGTTCAGGAAGACCTCGCTGGTCAGGCTGCCATCACCGCCGCTGCCATCCGGGGGGAAAAGCGGTGACGGGGGCTCCAGTGGGGACAGGCTGCCGCTGGAGGCTCCCACTGAGTCCAGAGACGCCCCCGTGTCCCTGCGACCTGTGGACTCGCTGCCGCTCTCCACCGTCAGGTGACTGCCGCTGTGACAGAGCAGAAACACGCACGTTAAACAGAAGCTTTCTTAGTGCAGACGAACATAACCGACACCAGATCTGATGACGGCTGATCCACTGACTGTCACGGTTACCTGAGTTTCCTACGCAGCAGGTAGTCGATGATGTCCGGGTCGGTCTGGATCAGACTCATCAGGACCTCCTGCTGCAGCTCTGCAGAGACCTGCGGGAACACACATCAGATTCAAGCATCGCTGAAAATAATTAGCATCTCCAGGACCGATGGAACATCACAGCTGTCTGGTGAGGGGGAGTCACACTGGGGGAAACGGACAGAGTCAGTCGATCCTGGACAAACTTGGACGATAATAAGGGTGGCCAGGGTCGCCAGGGCATGAATATTTAGTCTGACACTTTGAAACCACGAGCACTAAGTATAAGCTCTCATTTCAGATTAACATAGTGTTAATGAGAGAGCCTCCTCTGCCCTGAGGGGCAGCCAATCAGAAGAAAGTGAACTTAGAGAAAGGGGAGGTCAGGTATAAGATAAATAAGGATTATTGTGAACTTTGCAAAGCTGCTCTAGTAGAGTCCAAGAATAAACTCACCGAGTTGGAAATGAGCGTAACATAATAAAAGATTTCTGAATCACTTCCACAAATGACTGAAAGAGCGCTGTGAGTTTCTAGTACCGTGAAGAGTCTCCTGTGGTTCTGTATGAGCATCAGTGTGACGCTGATGATCGCCGTGCTGTCCTCGATGCCCATCACCTGCGGGCTCACGTCTCCCCCGCGCTCCTTCTGAAGCAGGTTCGGCCCGAAGATCACGGCCAGGTTAGCGGCCGTCATCTTGTTTCCGGGGATCTGGAGAGCAGAGGAAGAGGAGGCGGTGATGGAGGTCAAAGTGCAGATGGAATATGCTGTGGTAAATTAAGTTTGCGAAACGGGATCCTGTTGGATTTCTTTTTACATTACTGAGAACCAACAAGCAGCTGCAGCATAAATGTCAGGACAGCAATGAAGCAACACCAGAACATTCATGCAATGTATGTTTTCTCCAGCATTTCACAAGAGCAAAACGGACAAATTGGACAGTTTTCCTGACTAAACATGCTTTTTCTGCATTTCATCTTGCTTGTCGACAGCTCCCAAAAGCATCTGGTAGAGGTGCAACTTACTGAGGGACTTACCTTAAAAACTCTGTGTTCACAAAGGCCAGTTAGTCAGAAATGTTTGCATTTGTAATGTGCTATCAGTCAAGACCCTAACCCTCAGGGCGACCACTAAGACAACATTAATAACATCTGCCAACCAAAAAAGAAGCTGAGGAATTATTCTGGCAGAGTTCTGACTCTCTCTCCACTAATTTTATGTCCTGGACAGCCAACAAAATCATTAACATGATTTTTCTTTAATAATATTATGGAGAAAATGTGGTACTGTGACAGCCAGAAACAACACAGCTAGCCTTCAAATTTAGCAATTTAAACAAAGTAGCCTGTGTTTGTGAGGAACCGTGCAACTGTGGAAGATTAGACTCTGAGACCCCGCCCACATCTAAATGATACCTTTAGGCAGTGGAAAATACTGCGACTACTACTACTCATAATATTAAGGTAATACTTTATAATAATGCCACACTGGTAAGCATTAGTAAAGTATTAGCAAGTGCTTAATTCACTGTACATGATTAGACTTTAAGATGTCATTTATAAATACAGATATGTGTATCCATCTGTTACTGTTACACCATGTACAGCTATGACTGTTACTTCATCACTGCCAGTAATACACATAATCACGATAAAATATCTGAATTTATAAATAGCATATGTGGGAGGAGTAATGCTATGTAAATGATGAAGTAAGCACTTGCTAATAACTTAATAATGTTTAATAGTGTGGCAATATCATAAAGTGCTACCAATAATAATAACAACATTTATGTGCATAATATTTATGAAACACACAAGAAATTTCAGTAGTTTAAAAATTAAAATCAGCGTTCCTCCAAAGAATAAATCACAAGCATAACATCTGAATGTTAAGAGAAACATGGCGGTAAAATAAGAAGGTTAATGACACAGTCTAATATACAATGAGTTCCTCCACAACCAAGAACCCCCAACGACCACCTTCTGTCTTTGAATGTGGGAACAGTTACTGCACTGTGGTGCCAACTTTCTTTGTTTCTTTGCTCTGTTACGAGTGTTTTTTACTGGAAATGGATGGAATTCGATTAGGAAATGATATTATATTTATGTGCTTGAAGGACTGACACTGCCCTTCAGGGCGAATGCTTTCATTTTGTGTTTGTGTGGCTTCGACCTCGATGCCACTACTACGAGAGCTTCCAAAGGCTGAGGAAGACTTTATCAGTCATTGGTCCCACCTCCTCGTCGTTGGTTCCTATGCTGTCCTGTGCGAAGCTCTGCACGGTGTGTAACAAGGTGAGGAGGCGCAGCAGTGTGTCGCAGTTACAGGGAGGCAGCAGGTAGAGGAGGTGCTGGAGGTACTGCAGCTGGTCTGCTCCTCTCAGAACTGCAGGAGGCCCAGAGAGGAGGAAGAGGAGCAGGAAGTTAGTTACCCATCACATCACTAATTATACTGAGACAAAAACTGAAACTCAATCATTAAAGCCGGTGTGTGTTTTTGTGTGTGTCTGTATGTGTGTATTGGGGGGGGGTGCATGCATACAATTGGCATGCAGGAAGGCGGGGTAGAGCTCTCTGGGCAGCAGAGGATCCGGCATGTCCCTCAGAAACTCTTTGAGCAGTGCTGCCACATCGTGGACGCTGTGCTCTTCATCCAGCTGGACGTCAACGCCCACGTCAAAGTCCTCCCGTAGCTGAGGAGCGCGCACGCAAACACATATTAGTGTTTAAAAACAACAACGACAGTGCCTTCAAACTCATGTTCGGGTCACGACCGGGCCACGGTTCCCCGATGGACACATTTCTCAAAAACAGGATCTCACACATCATCAGCTTTTCGCTCAAAGATTATTTTTGTATTCGTGCATCCAGCTTAGACCGACAGGAAACACACGACGGTGAATCAGGGGACATGCAGACCTACACCACTCCTCTACTGCTGGCAATAACCCACGTTTTTTTTTTTTCAGGGAAAATGTGAATGAACGAGTTTCTGTATATTTTTTCCAGCTTTTTTCCTCAGTTATCAGCACATCAGGAGGTGTTGGACCCCAAATAAACAACAACAAAAACTCAGAATATTAATGGTATATTATTAGTGGAAAATAAAAATTATTTAAATTAATTTATTATTTTAATTAAATTAATTGGAATAATTATCCTAACCTGTCTCACTCTCTTCTTGGAGCTGCCGACTCGGAAGATACCCACAGTCTGAAGACCTGGAATACAAAATGTTA